CGGTCCCCGCTGCCGCACCACACTCGGGTCGCGACGCTAGACAGAGGGGCACTGGACCCTACTTTTCCTCTTCTCTCCTGCATCTTCAGCCTCCCCCGATCCTTTCACTCTTCCCACCTACCAGCTCTGATTCTCTCTCCTTATATTACCTTTCTCCTCGACTAGCCACTCTGGGTAAAGTTCGGAGAATCGTGACCTCAAAGCCTGCTCTCTGCAAAAAATCCCAGTGCCTGGAGGGATGGAGGGGAAAACTCATGGGGAGGAGAGCCAGGGACAGCTTCGTCAAATGCTAACTTCATCACAACTTTACTGCGCACCAACTGTATATCGGGCCCATGGATGGCGCCAGGTACAGCTCTCTGCGCTCCAGGACCGCGGTGTAGAGCGAGAGTTGACAGTGACCAGGAAATTACTTTATACCTTTATAGGTATAGAGGATTGGTGGATGGAGGCTCCACGGCGCTTCTCAAGAGCGGGTGGATGGGACAGGGTGAGGCATTTCTCTGGGGAGGTGACATCTGAGCTGGGGCCAGAAGGAGGAGTTGGGATTACTGAGATCCCATCACCTGGGTGTGCTGGAACCAAGTCTTTGCCATTCTTAGCACATCGAGGGAAGGGAGGTGATTAAAATCAAATGGGAGGTCAAAACGATGAATCCACAGGGCCTGGCGTGGCCTGTGAGGGAAAGGTGGATGAGCCGAAGCGCTGAGGTCCCGGTGCTTGCTGGGGTCCGGGAAGCAGGTTCCTGCTCCGCACTAAGCCCAGCAGTGCATCCCAGCTGAAGGCAGGGAGAACCCCAAGTTATATTCTGATTTTGGCTGCCGATGCCCTTGGGCTGGGAGGAAAAGCAGAGTTTAGGGGGGAAAACACACCCTCTTCCAGTCTGTGGGCCTCAGTTTCATTATTTGGAAAATGAGATGTCTGGAGTTGGAAATTTCCCGGGCCCCTTCCAGGCCCGCCAGTGGAGGAGAAAAGAGCTACATGTGTTAGGGACTGCGGCTCGCTCGGTTTTTAATTCCTTCTTTTCCATGTCTAAATCTGGAAGCAGAAGGCGGCTGGCCCAGGCTGCTTGGGAGATTGCCTCTTACCCTCCAACCTTGGCGACACCTGGTCCGTGTTTTCAGCTTCTGACTTTGGCTGAGCTGCCCCAGGGAAGGACCACGAGCCGCGCTGCCTGCCCATCGGATTGTAGGGGTTCAGTGAGCGGGGCAGATGCATAATTTTCATCTTTAGTCGGGAACTGGCTTTCTGTCTAGTGCTATTAGGCCAGCAGCCGCTTTAGAATAGGTAAAGACAGTTTAAGTAAAGTGTGCAAGAGGGCCCCGGGGGAACAGAGCAGCCTCCTGCTTGCCCCCAGCGAAGGAGACCCGTTCAGAGTTGGATGCTTTCGCTGTCACTCCAGACAGAGGCAGTTCCTTCCGCCAATGGAAGCTTTTTTTTTTTTTTTTTGGAATTTCTGGCCCGCCGAGGCAGTTTCAGGAGCTGAGCAGCAGCCGGCCTCCCGGCCTCGCGATGCCACGGAGGAATTCCCAAGACGCCTACGGTTATAGTGACAGCTCGAGCCCGCGGGGGCCGGGGCCCCCTTTTCCCTTGACAGACGTGGTGCGAGAGCAGCCCTGTCCAAGCTGAGCGGGCAAAGGCAGCTTACGAATGTATCTAGTCCGCGGGCTTCCGGAAAAGCAACGCTCCTCCTTGGGAGGTCTCAGGTGCATTCCCGTCGGGCAAGTGGACCTGGTGGTGTCTGGGGACAGAGCGAGAGAAGGTCCCTTCCAAGGCGCGTGGGGTAAGCCTGACGCTCACCACCTGAACACTAGAAAGCTGAAAACCGGGCACTCACTGATGAGCTCATTACACCTACAGACCCGGCCGCCACCCCCTCGGCCTCGGAGCCTGGGGACGCGAGCCGCGTGGCCACCCTCTGGGGTCTCGGCGAGCTACTGCACAACTCGGATCCCAAACAGAACCGTGACGATAGAGCGAAGTGCCCAATCTTCATGCTTCTGCGCTCCGGGTGCTCCCCGACCCTGGCCCCGGCGGTCCTAGTTGCAGAGGAGAGCGCCGGACCCAAAGGGTGGACGCCTGTCCATTTTGGAGAGGAGCCGGCCGCCGGGGAGTATTCTGGGGGAATCCCAGCGTGGCACGGGGGGGGGAGGGGGGCGCTCGTCCCCTCCTCCCTCCTTCTCTCAGGGCTGATTTAATTCCGGCAAGTTTTGCAGGCGCGCAGCAGCCCCAGCGGGGGCGGGTTTGTGCGCGCCGCAGCTGCCTACAGACCTCTGCTCAAGAAAAACAGATCATGTAACCTCCCTGGCACCGACCAGTCGGTTTCAGGTTTCGGCGTGTAATTTAAACACACACACACACACACACACACACACACACACACACACACACACACTACACTATCCAAATATTGGCTGGCGCGGAGGACGCTGGCAGGCAACTCCTTGCCCCGGGTTTAGTATAATTATCTGAGGCGTATTTGGTTTACCCCTAGGCAATTGTTGGCGACGCTTTGCTAGGAAGAGAGGTTCCATGCAAGGTTTTATTGCGTTTAATTGGCTCTACGGAGGGGAGTAAAATTTGCTCGGAAAAGATGTGGAACTTTAGGAGAGGCTATTTATTCATTCCCTTTCCTCTATCGTCCCAGCCCGGGAAGGTCCCACGCACTGCTCAGCCGGGATCCGAGCCAGACAGTCCCAAAGCTTCCGCGAAAGGAGGAGCGCTGGTCTCCGTCGGATCTGGGACGTCTTTCAGGACTAGGAAGAAGGTAACGGTTCATGCGCACATCTCGATTTTCATGGGTTCTCTCTTTACCCACTGACCTCTGATGCGCGGGCTAGTTACCTCTGGGACTCTCCCAGGCGCGTTTACGTCGTCCCATCCAGCCTGTCGCCTGACTCGCAACTGACTCCTCCGCCCACACTTTCTCCAGACCCAACCCCTATGGCGGGTGGGAGGAGGCCCGCCTGGGATCTGGACACGAGGTTTCTAGCCCTAGCCCAGGCACCACCGGCTGGATGACCCTGGAGGTGTTGTTTCCTCGCTCTGTACTTTATTTTCTTCCCCGGAAATATGCAGGAGACATAACTGAGCCTTCAAAGTCCCCGCGCTCCAAGGAGCTGAGGTTTGAGGTTGTGGTCCCCACGTTCTCAGGGGCCCTGGGCGCTCGGTGCAGGGAGCTCACGTCCCGTGCAGCCCGGGCTGCTGTGGGGCAGCAGCGCCGCCCTGCCAGCACTCACAGCGTCCCGGGAAACCGTGGTCTCTAGCGTCGCCACCAGGCCCAGCATCCTCGCCAAGTGCACTCCTCCCCCAGCGTTTGCCACCGGTCCATACCCCACGCCTAGCCCAGCAGGCACGGGGGACACAGGTGTTCGCTCCGGCCCTATTTGTATTTGTGCGCAGAGGCCTGATTTGCCTTTCCGGAATTTCTTCGACTCCCCACGGATGGAAGGCAGAAGCGAGAACGCTGAGCCGGGCGGGTATTTATTTCCTAGAGAAAAAAAGCACTGGCCTTGAATTTATTAGATAAAAACTCAAGACCCAGTTTCGCCACCTACTGGCTGCGTGACTGCCTCCTCTCTGGGCCTCAGTTTCCTATTCCGTAAAATGGCCATAACACTGTTACCTTACGTTGTGATTATGAGGAGTGAGAGAGAATATTTTTTATCTAGCAAACCTTTATTGAGAGTCTACTGTGTGCCCGGTGTGAGAAAGAGCTTGAGGTGCACTGTAAAGCATGATGAACACGTTAGATGCTATCATTATTTTTTCTCAGCTCCATGCACT